GCGCTATACTTCTGGCCATAAAATCGCTTCTTATTTACATGAACGGCAGCGTGAATTGATAAGTTCATTCCATATGCAAGTATTTGCCTAAAAACAGCAGCGCATCCGCCGCCTCAGCAAGCGTCGTGGAGGCGCTGGAATAGGTAATAGTAGGTAACGCATTCCATGCTCCTATAACCGCTCCGACTGTTTAGTTGGTAGGTTGCTTATTGGCTGTTTCTGTTGGCACAACAGCACTCACGCCAACAGTCTGCTATTCGACGCCACGGAAGTTTATAAAAGTTTGCGCCCACCAAAAATAGCGTGGATTTTGCAACGCTGCGAAGATTTTTTTACACAAAACGTTTTCGAAAACGCTAGCAAACGCTCATAATTGGTTGAATTTCTAGCTCTATTATGCAGCATTTTTGTGCTAAACCCGTGCAGTTAGTATCTCAAGTTGTACGATTATAGTTAACAAGCGTAGATAAAATATCGACACTGCTAGCCAATAAAGATTATCTTTACGTGGCTGAAATCTCCGTTTGCCAAGCACCTACTTGTTTAACGCATAATTATAAATCAGTCGCTCGCGTGTTGTGTACCAGCGAAAACAACGGCAGGAGCGCCCTATACAGCAGTGACTCGCGGTCTATACGGAAGCAGTGAGAAATTTTAAGGATAATCAGATCAAGCTAGTTGCAACCAACAAAATGGCCTCTTTCGGTGCCCTTGACTATGGCATCGTCGCGATTGTGCTGATCATTTCAGCTGCAATTGGCATCTATTACCGCCTGACGGGTGGCAAGCAGCAGACCACCAAGGAATACCTGCTCGCAGATCGTCAGATGTCCATACTGCCGGTCGCTTTCAGTCTCATGACCAGCTTCATGTCCGCCGTTACGCTGCTCGGTGTGTCGATGGAAAACTACCAGTACGGCACCATGTTCGTGTTGATTAATATTTCGTATGTCTTGTCGACGCCTGCAGCCGCCTATCTTATCCTGCCTGTCTTCTATCGGCTAAAGACTGCGTCCGTCTACGAATATTTGGAGCTGCGCTTTGGCTATGCCACGCGTCTTTGCGCCTCACTTGCCTTTACCATTCAGATGACGCTCTACATGGGCATTGTGTTGTACGCGCCGGCGCTGGCGCTGGAAGCCGTAACCGGACTGAATCAAAATTTCTCCGTAGTAGTCGTCGGCGTGGTGTGTACATTCTATGCCACTTTGGGCGGTATGAAGGCGGTGCTCATCACAGATATTTTTCAATCGCTGCTAATGTTCGTTTCCGTGTTCAGTGTCATAATTTGTGCGACCATCAAAGCTGGCAGTTGGGGTGAGATTTGGCGCGTCGCAGGGGAAGGCGGTCGCCTGCAATTTCTGGACTTTAGCGTTGATCCGACAGTGCGTCACACCTGGTGGACGCAGATTATCGGCGGCATGGCCACATATCTATCTCTATACGGTGTCAACCAAACTCAGGTGCAGCGTTTGCTGTCTGCGCGCAACCTGAAGTCATCGCAAGCCTCCCTATGGTGGAATTTGCCAATTTTGATACCGTTGAGTTTCAGTACCTGCTTCTCGGGCCTTTGCATCTATTACTTCTACAAGGACTGTGATCCCCTATTGGAGGGACGCATATCGTCACGCGACCAGTTGATGCCACTTTTCGTTGTGGACACTATGGGTGGCATACCTGGTCTGTCGGGTCTCTTCGTAGCAGGCATATTTTCGGCAAGTCTATCGACAATATCATCCGCTATCTCCTCNTCAGTTGATGCCCCTTTTCGTTGTGGACACTATGGGTGGCATACCTGGTCTGTCGGGTCTCTTCGTGGCAGGCATATTTTCGGCAAGTCTATCGACAATATCATCCGCTATCTCCTCGCTGGCTGCTGTCACCGTTGAAGATTACCTAAAGCCGTTGCTGCTATGGAAGACCAATAAACCGCTAAACGAGTCGAAGAGCACGTGGTTCTCGAAGTTCTTCAATCTGATCTACGGTGCAGCCTGCATCGGTTTGGCATTCCTTGCCGGCTCGCTAACCGGCGTACTACAGGCAGCACTTTCCATCTTCGGCATTGTTGGCGGACCATTGTTGGGTCTCTTCACACTCGGCATGTACTTCACCTTCGTCAATCAAAAGGGCGCCATAACTGGCCTTATTACTAGTTTGGCATTTTGTTTCTGGATAGGCTTCGGCCAACCACGGCCTACACCGAAGACATTAGAATTCTCCACTGAAGGCTGTTCCGCGTCGCCGCCAACATCGCATGTCAGCGACATTTTCACACCCTTTGCGGCGACAGCAGCTGCGGAAGCAGAGGAGCCTCATTATTTCTATCTGTATCGCATCTCGTACATGTGGTATTCGGTAATTGGCTTTCTCGTCACGTTGTTCATGGGCTTGGTATGTTCCTGGCTGTATGCCAAGCTGGGCTGGGATTCAAACGCGCACATCTACACCGACAGCACATGCACGACAATCAAATATGATTTGTTTGTGCCGCCATTGGCCAGGCGGTTGCGCAACCGACAAGTGCCAGTTGTGGTGGTGACAGGCACGAGCTCGGAGATCGGCGGGGGTTCAGCGACCCCCAGCACCGTGGAAGACGATGCGCCATTGCCGAAAAGTGACACGGGTGCAACAGAACTTAGCATGAATGAACTGGATGGAAGCCAAAAGGGAGAAGATGTGACGAATGTTGCAAAAGACGCGACTGGAGGAGGAGGAGAGGTGATTGTACAAAACGGCAGCAAGCATGCAGCCGCAACAGCTTAAATAGAACATTAGAATTTATCCGCAAGTGATTTATTAGCTTTCATACGCACTGGAACACCTGCCAAGCAAATGTAAATTAAATTTGTTGCAATAAATCGTCCCCTTAGCTAGTAGGATTATTTTCTTTTTATGTGTGGAAGGGTTGGATTGATATTAAACATAGTGAAAAATAACTTTTCAAATCTTCTAGAAAGGCGGCGGAACGTGAATGGTTATGTAACGAATAGATCAGCACATCGTCAGGAATATTTTTTTCTGATTTCGTAATTCAGATATGGCAGAAAAACAACAACAGCTCGAAATCGGAAGACGGCGTGACTAAATCACAATCTCATCCTTTTTATCTTATCTAAATAGTGCCGTAATTGCCCGCAACTACAGTCGAAATAAAATTTATAGAGCATTTCGTTCTGTTCCATTTATTTATCTGTTCTTTTTTTGCCAACTCTAGTCGAGTCTTTTATTTTAACAAAGATTACAAATAGTACTAACGTGAGATAAATGTAGCTTAACAAATATTTGTAGACAGGCACATTCGAGATACGTTAACGAGTTGGTAATTAAAAATTTCCCACTCTACATTCGTCCAACAGTCGCAACGCCGTGGCCGCTTCCAATGCTAAGGCGGCTGCTAAGAAGGCGCAAAACCAAGCGCGGTCTTATGGAACAATTAATTTAACAATGATCAAACAATAAAAGATTTAAAAAATAATTATCAGCGCAAACTCCCCTACCCCGCCCACCGTGTCTACCCAACGGCTTATCAGTGCTGCTAGCATTTGCGCCTTTACAGTCATCCCCTATTCAACTATGATAAAATACACTATTTTCGATTTAATAAAACAAAAAAAAACGCGCTGATCCGCTCAGTTCCGACGCGTGTGGATGCCATATCGGTTGCTGGCCTGCATGTTGTAGGCGTTCCGCTCCTTGTCCATTTGCCAATTGGCCAGCAGTTGATCGAGCTCCGTGTAGGTGAGCGTCTTGCCTTGGCGCCGACGTGGCTCTTCGCCTGCCTTGTGCGCAACCTTTGCCTCACCGGCTGAGTTAGCCTCTGCACTCTCCTGATTGCTGGTTGGCGCAGCGGCCTTGGCTGCACCGGCATCAATGAATTTAGTGACCTCGGCCACACCGGGCTCACGCAACTCGTTGGGGTGCGCGATGCGCATGATGTAGTTGGTGGTTGGTGTGGGCGCGGCCGCGGCCGGCGTCTCTTCGGCATACTCGTAGTCGGCGCCCATCAGCTGCGCAAAGTGGGGCAGCACGAAACCTTGCGTCAAGCTGCTGATCGCCATGATGGCGGCCATTAACAAGAGTACAGCTTGTGCCATTTGTCACGAGTACACCAGCTGTTCAACAAGAACAATAGCAACAATAAGTTAATCAATTTAAAAAAAAATAAAAATTATTTGAACCAAAAACGCGACAGCGCTGTAGAATAACTGGCCAGTTCAATCAGGTTGGTGACGTGCGAATTTCAATTTGAATGTCGATTTTAGTTTTAATTTAATTTAATTAAAATTAGAATTGCCTGAGAACTGTGCGCGCCGAACACTCGCTGACTGAGAGGGATGTTGTTGCCGCGACGGGTATTTAAACTAAACTGATTGACGATTAAACGAGCGCTTTTTAATGCTGCGCGCGAGTCGACTGATTAGAACTGGATGGACAGCGGCCAATGGAAGGGGCAGTGCGGTAGTCGGCGGCGTAAATTACTGATCTTGTCTGCTGGGCCAGCTCAATAAGAATAACATTTTGTTTTATTTTTCACGCGCAATCGATTCTACGCTGCAATTAAGTGCCGATGCGCGTACTCAAACGCGTTTCAAAGTTTGTGCAGCAACCAACGGCTGGTGAATAACCGATTTGTTTCGAAAGATGCCCGATGCCTGTTATCATAAAAGGAAAGGGTGGGCGGGCGGGTGTTTATTTAGTGAAATATCGTACGCCCAGTGCGCTCGCTTTTAATAAAAGTTATTATTTATTACACAAATTTCAACAAAAAAAAAAATCGCTATTTACAATGTTTTCGTTTTCCATGAACTTATCTGCTACAAATATGTGTATGCAAGTGTGTACATCTAACTGGGAGTTCGTTGCATGGCATTCAAGCCAATCTGTGTGCTCAGTACATATAACTTAATTGTGNTTTCGAAAGATGCCCGATGCCTGTTATCATAAAAGGAAAGGGTGGGCGGGCGGGTGTTTATTTAGTGAAATATCGTACGCCCAGTGCGCTCGCTTTTAATAAAAGTTATTATTTATTACACAAATTTCAACAAAAAAAAAAATCGCTATTTACAATGTTTTCGTTTTCCATGAACTTATCTGCTACAAATATGTGTATGCAAGTGTGTACATCTAACTGGGAGTTCGTTGCATGGCATTCAAGCCAATCTGTGTGCTCAGTACATATAACTTAATTGTGTATAAATTAATGCTAAATGCTTTTATTTCATTATTTGGCTGCTGTTGATTTACTTATTTCCTGCAGTCAGCGGCTGGCTAGTGAATGTGCGTCGTCGTATCGTATCAGCCACTCAGTTCATCACCATTCAATCGCTCGAGGTCGTCACAGTCTCCGTGACTCTTGTCGTCTTTATGATGGTGGTGGTTATCTCTTCAGAGTTCGCGCCATCTGTGTCAACCGGCACAACCATCGTGCTCGTAAACACTCCAGCCGAGGTGGAGTCGTTGTTGGGCTGTGCGACAATTGTTGATGTGGTGCTCTGCAATTGATTGAATTAAATTAATTCCTTTGTTATTTTATTTAGTTAAATTGTTGCTTTTTTTTTTTAAATAGCATTCCGCTAAATTTAGTAGCCGTTGAAGAATTTCTAAAAATGTCTTAATTTTGTTGCGCAAGAAATATGTATGTACCCGCTTATGTATGAATTTGTGTGCGGCGTGCTGAAGTTGTCAAAGCAGCTCAGCAGGTTGTGTACTTTTCATTAAGCGATGTTGTTTAGCTTTTGATAACAGCAAATGAAGGGGAATTAATTGCTGATAAACCGAAATGTGTCTCTTTTGAAATGTAGTTCGAATAAAAAATATGTACAGTATTGGCCACATAATTAGGGAGTGTCCGTTTTACAGTTTTGGCCCTTTATTTTTTTTTTTAACTTGTTTATAATTTATTTAGTTTTTTTTACCAAAAATAATTTATACTAATTACAACGAAAATCATGTGGATTTCTAGAAAAAAATCGAGTACACAGTTTTGTTGACGATGTCACTCATTTTAGCTCATATAAAAAATTTTGGAACATACTTTGTATCTATGGAAAAAAAATGCGCAACGCCGTCAACAAAAGAATTACCAAAAATTAATGCGAATTCCAGGCCGCTCGAAAATTGCGCAATATTGAATAAAATGAATAAACTACTAAGCTGCATACCCGATTTTTTTTCTAGAAATTCTGATAAAACAGTTTGAAAATTTGAGTTGCATTGTTGTCGTATAAACTATGTACTTAAAAATTAATAAAGAAAAAAAAATGATCAAAGTATGTAAAGAAGTAGTGTCCCTAATTATGTGGAAACCACTGTATGTACAATGGATAGGGCGGGTCGCTACTGTTGCGCTACCATTTTTAATTTAAGCTACATATATATGTATTTTCTACTTTCTCAGACGTTAAATATAAATGTGTGTGTTAAAATTTATTTAAATGATTATATTTTAGTGCACAAATATTCGTGTGGCACTTGTGTGTTCAGTGCATGGTTCTTACAAGGTCAACGAATTCTACTGTTTTAGACTGTCTCCGAGTAGGCTAATAGGTTTCATGACCAACAGGTTTAAATTACTCTCAAAGTGGCTGTTAGGAACCTCTTCCTGTATATCGCGCTCGCAGGAGACTCCCGATTTAGATATTCGTTATATAGTTATTGGTAGCATTTAGAATTTGAAGCGTTCTCAAGCCGTTTAGTGTCAACCAAAGCGACATTTTTCAGCTGTGCTTACATAAGCTAGAAACAACTCTCTTGGCGTTGGATTTGAGATGAGAGTGAGCCACCTGCTGATGTCGCTTTCGGTACCAAAAGCTACAAATTTGGTTCCAAAATTGGACAGTCGCGCTATTTACTGGATTTGCATTGAGAATTTAGCTCGTAAAAACTTACTGTAAGTACGTGAAGATCACCAGAGCTAAAATTACTTTTTTTTTTTGTTCGAAAAGTCGAGATTAAAAGTGGCAGCGGGTATCCATAAAGACTTCAAAACTTTTTTTTTCATAATTAAACCGTGAAATCTGGCACTGCAATAGCTACTAAGTACAATAAATATTAATCTACACCTGCGAGCGATTCGGTAAACAAATCACATCTCTTCAAGATCAATAACATGCCTATCACTGAATGGCATGCGAACAATGCAAGGGATTGTTCAGCGCTTCAAGTACATACATAGTATTTGCCTGTCTACTGCGCACTACCACTCCACCCACTGCCCACAAGGTAACGCCTTGTGATTAATCGCCGTTGACTCATGCGTAGAATATTTCTTAATGACTAATACATATCTACTCGTTCATTATATTTCGTTAATTTTAATATTTTTCATTTTATAGACTACAATGAACTTTGAAAATGCCTAAAATTTAAAAAAAAATATACATAATTTTTTGTTCATTAAATTCTTCACTGTTCGTTGCTTGCTTTAGATTAAAAATTCCCACAACTTGTTTTGTGCAAAAAATCCTAAACACCTTTCGCATTATGTATGCAGCAAAAAAAAAAATTTGATTGTTTCTAAACTCGCGCTGAGCCGCTTTGCTAAATTTTCTTTCGTCCGGAGACGCGCACATAAAGTCTACACTTTTCAAAAATTCTACACTTCATATCGTACCGCATTTTTTGCCTCCGAAGGACTCCATGAGGTCTTCGAATCCGGATCCTTTGAACAGCAGCTACCCATTTTTTAAATATCTTTTATTCTTATAATCTTTTTTTTTTTGTGAACTAAATATTCGTATGCGCCTTTTAACGGTCTTTGAAGAACTAAAGTATCTTATTCGTCAACAACGTCGACTCGCGGTTGCACAGCGTGTGTCAATTTCACTTTTGTTCGCCTCACTTTTTTTTCGATTTTATTGTTGAATTTACTCTATGACGACACTCGATGGCCGGCAGGCAGTAGGTGGCGCCGGCGACCGGTGGCGTCGTTAGGGGCAGTGCGCTGCACTCCATACTTCAGCTGCTGCTCCCTTCTGCGGTGCTTTTATCGCGAAATAAATGAGTTTCAGCCAAATAACTCACACGAGGCAGCAACACTAATGCATTAAACATTCATTAAGTACTCATTTGTACACTCAAACATACATATAAACTGTACGCTGATTATGAGCAATACGCATTTCATACTCTACAAATGTACAAATGTACGAACATATGCTTCAAAAATAAGCGCAAAAATAATAATTTGCAACAGAGATATTAATAATGAAAAAACCAGCGAATTTGTTTAAATGAGCGTCCACAATGTTGGCGAGTCTCCGCTCGCATAGCTTGGATGTCAACGGCTCTACCTCACCCTCTCCCTGCCCCAGAGCGTTGCAGCGCCAAGTGTTGCGCCGCTGGCGAGGTGGCTGGCGATAGGTGTGCCGCGATGGGTGGTGGGTTGTTAGGCGGGTCTCTGTGTAGACACACACACACGCACACTTGTATTTCATATTCAAAGCCAACTGTGCTCCTGTTGTCTTATCAGTGCCTAGTTAACTCTCTCGTGGCATTCTTTTGTGTGCGCCGTGCATGTACATACATACATACGTACATATGTATGTAGGAGACTCACAACAGTCAGTCATAGGTATTCTATAATTTATTTGAAGTATTACTTATGGCATTTTGCGAAATTTGTTTATGTATGTATTTTAACTGTTTTTTTTTTCTACCTTTTTAGTTGGCTTTAGTTGGGGGTTTAGGGGAGTGGAATTGGCACAAGGCAGCCATGCTGATAGTGTTGTTGTGTTTACTTTTGCCCAATGTTTTTGGTTTTGTTTTTGTGTTAATTATTTTGAGGTCGTTTTTATTTGCTTGCAAATTTTCATAAGTATATTCTCAAATGCGCTGGCTTATCGTTTAGGTATATCACTTATCGATTCTTATCTTTCGTCTTCGCCGTTTAGCTGTGTTTTTTGTACATACATATGTTGTAAATATTTTTCGGCATGCCATAATCAATTAGAAATAAATTTTCTTATCACTTTCAAGTATTTTAAGTACTAAGAAGCCTCATTTGCTCCTAATATTCCGTTGAGTGATTCATTTTAGGTTATGTAATGGCACATTTTCTGCTCTGAGCTTAGGTGTAGTCATACAAAAATATATTTTGTTCAACTTTCTGATAAGGAATTCAAATACGTTTGGAACTATATTTGAAGAAATTTCCCGGAATTGCAAAGTAAATGTTTTTCGTACGGATTTTTAGGAATACGCTTTAAAAAGAATTAATTTCATACTAAATTTGTATACACTGGTGGCAGAAATATTAGAAACGCCTTATTTTGATAAATTTTATATATATTTCCTTTGTTTATTTAATGTTTAATATTTGTTATTTTATACTAACTCATCATATATTCAACTCAATAATTCAACAAATTTGCACCTTAAATTCAAACATGTCCATTAAATTTTAGTAGGTCAAGTGCAAGTTTCAAGCGGGTGCAAATGGCATTTTTTGCAGCGGACTTCTCCAGATTTTTTAAATAACGAGAGAGAAGAATATAAAATTCATGTTTTGGGCACACTTTATAAGGAAAAAAATGCACAACACCGTCAGCTAAAAAAAAAATCTAGAAAAGCAACGGTAGCTTTAAGCCACGTTTAACTTGCATTTCATCCTATTAAAATAGGCTGCATACCTAAAATTTTTCTAGAAATTCTGAATAAAAAGTTCAAAATTTTGGTGAAAATTTGTTGGACTTTTCTAATTTTTGTATGTATATTGTATATGTAGCTTATTATATAATGAGTAAGACTTTTAGACGTTAACAGGTAATTTTTAAGCAAACGTGTAATTTTTATGCAAAAAACAAAACTGACTTCAAATCCCATATAAAAATTTAAGAGTTCCGCTAGTTTTTTTTTTCATGATCCAATGATCGGATCTAAATCAAATTAGTATGGCGCTACCCCTGAGCTACTTCCTTTCCTTTAAAAAAAAAATTTTAGACATCGGTTAACGTGGTCCAAAGTTATGGGTAACATACATACAAAAAAAAAATATTCCGACGAATTGATAGCCTCCTCGTTTTTTTTGAAGTCGGTTAAAAACAAAACCGTCTTCAATTCTCATATCAAAATATAAGAGTATCGTTCATTTCTCAATGATCCAAGGATCGGATCTAAACCAAATTAGTATGGGGACACCTCCGAGGTATCACCTTTCCTTAAAAAAATAATAATTATAGAAATCGATTAGCGGGGCCCACAGTTATGCGGTAACACATGTACATACATAAAAAAATATTTCGACGAAATGATAACCTCCTCCTTAACCTCCTCCTTTTTTGAAGTCGGTTCAAAATCAAACCAAATGAAGCCAAAACTGGTCAAAATAAGGCGTTTCTATTATTTCTGCCACCAGTGTACTCCTTTATGTAGGAATACTTTTGAAAATAATATCCAAGAAGAAGGTGGACATTAAAGATGGCACGGCACAGAAACCGATTACTCTTAAAAAAAAAAATCAACGAAAATAAGTTATCTTATTTGGCTGGCTGTTTGAACTGCAGTGGGATGCTGAAAATCGCTCATTTTGGTCGACAAAAATCTCCTAAAGAATAGCGGGTGTGCTTGACAACGTGCAACGTCTAGTAATATGTCCCTCATACTACCAGATAAATCTGAGTACTCATTGTATCTATACTTTTTTTTATGTTTTTCAATATTAAGGTACCTATTAGGTTCCCTGCCAGAGAAAAATGGGATGATGGTTCAAATATGGAATAAGGAACCGGAGCCTACCGAACGATTGCAGGTTCTTCCAAGCGGATATCTACGCTATAGAAAGGGCGGGCGGCTGGTCTTGTACTTAAATAGTAGTAGGGTTCCAGAAAATAAAGCCGCCATTTTTGTCAATAGTCAAGCAGCACTGAAGGCAATAGGATCTAAAATGGTGAAATCGGGAATTGCATGGAAATGTAGGACCACGCTGGCATCACTGAGCCATATCAACGGCATAGCAATATTGAAGGGAATCAGTCTGCTGATAGGAGTACCAAATACGGCTCAGAGATATCAATTGAAGAAGCTGATAGCTCCGTACTACCACCGTTTAGTGATTATGTTAGGGAAATTGATGAATACACCGTGGCCATAGCTAATGGCTTGTGGAACAAACGGCAAGACTGTTAGATCACAAGATTATTATGGCCGCGGCTTAGTACGAAAAAGACAGCGGACATACTGAAACTCAATAGATCTGCAGTAAAGTAAGAGTCATTACCGGCGTTATCGCAGGACAAGTACGATGTGCAGAAGCTGCCGTGATGAGGATGAGGAAGACTCAATTGATAACTTTTCGTGCCGATGACCAGGTCTGTAGTCGAAGCGCCTCAAGCACTTGGGTTCACGCTTCTTCAACAGTCTGTTNGCACTGTGCTATAGCAACAATGCTTCAACGATAGCGAATACCAACAAGTACGATGTGCAGAAGCTGCCGTGATGAGGATGAGGAAGACTCAATTGATAACTTTTCGTGCCGATGACCAGGTCTTTAGTCGAAGCGCCTCAAGCACTTGGGTTCACGCTTCTTCAACAGTCTGTTGGTGTTGGATCTCCTCGGCTTCATTAGGGATAGCAATTGATTCAGTTGAATAATGACTGGAGAGTACTTAGCTACTCTGTTAATATCCGTCCATTTGGTTATCCGTCAATTGTAGACAGTTTATAAACGGATTCGATTGTTGGCGTGGATTGTGCCAGGTCATGGATATCACATAGGAGTTGTATTTCTTTAAGCATGTAAAAGTCTCGGGCGAAAAACACAAAAGTTTATAACTTTACTGAACTGTCAAAATTTGTATCGTATTCAGTTATTGTCAGAGTATAAAATATTTCGCTAAACCTCTAAAAATTGCGACACCCTTTTGAGAGATAGTCCTGTTTTATGCAGATAAAATCGATATCAAAAGATGTACTCTTCTGACTGGCGTTGCAAGGAAATGTTGTTTTGTTTAGAAAGCATTAGTTTTATAGCTCATTTCCACCAAGCCTCAACAGCAGTTTATGCCTATTGAAATAAAGGAGATTACAACTCGAAGAGGTAATTGCTCATATTGAGTACAAGAAAAACAAAAAACTTTGCTGATCACCCCATGTTAACGTTATTTGCACTTACCTGAGCTCTTAACTGCAGTTAAGCTCCTGGTGGAAATGGGCTATTAGGCCATTGAAATGCGATTGACAATCGATGCATTCAACTTTCATAGCACAATTTCGAATTAACCACCTATACTTAGTTCTAATATTTATTTTGTACAAAATCAAAACTGACCTCATTCAGAAACGTACAATCTAACTTCAGGTATTCTCCGCTTATCTATTCTAAGTAATATGGTTTTTCATTGTAAAAATCTTATCAGTTTAAGGCATTATGGGCGGCCACACATTCTAATATAATAACTTCGAACGAAATTAGAGTAATAAATATCACAAAAACGAGACCGCATTTCCCGTTTGCACTGTGTCTCTCACTATCTGCTCCACAACTTTTGTTTTCACTTTTGCTGTCGCTTAAATATTGTCGCCGACATGTCGCTGAAGCGGTCATCCTCGTAGCTGCCCTGCGAAAACTCAATGTCCACGAAATCCTCCACCGAGCTGCGCCCAGTGGCACTGCCGCTTGGTTCCGTCGTGACAATGGACGGCAGTGTGCCCTGCAAGTTGCAATTAGCATTTGGTTATAATTCACATCCGAAGTGTGATTTCGGTTACTCACTTCTTGTTGCTCCTTTAGTTCTCTGCTATTCCAGATGTTCCAGTAGCTTCCAAAAGCACCTTCACCAGAAACCGCATCAGCGCTCGCCTCTTCGGCTGCGCAACAGCAACCACATCGGAATATCCGTCGCATTTTGTCCTTTCTCTCTTAACGGTACTTGCTTCCCTGCTTGTTGCCTCCAACGTTTTCCTCCTCTGGACGACAATTGCATTACAACATTTTTCTTCTTTTAGTTTTCCTGTATT